CCTCTTCACTTTGAAGCTCCTCACCTCAGTAAAGCCCGAAGTCAGCTAAAGGGCTAATGATAACTAGCAAAACGCCTGCCACTTTAAGATAATAATACATTAGATCAATTAAAATAATAGCCTATAATCAATTTCCTCCTAGAAGCCATTTTTATATAGTTTACAACGAAATAGTGCCCATAGGAAAGTTTGTTTCTGATATACTAGATAACGGACTGACTGAGGTAATAATAGAATCATTTATTGGCATTTTCAATTAGGCTCCTTAAGAATTTGACCTGCTAATATCAACTTTGCCTTACATCTTCCATTGGCCGGCGTAAGTAATGAAGCTACTTTCAGCTCCGTTCACAACCAAGTACAAATTATTTGTGGATGTGACAAGTCAATAATGTGATTAACCTTTCGAAAGCTATCTTGAAGGCAGTTTATGACCTAACACATCTCATTGGATCCGCGGATTCGCGGATTTTTTTGCACATTCCTCTGTTAACCTTATGCAACAATATTCACCAAATTGGTTCTTCAACGTCTTATCTATTTTCTCTGGGTAGTGTATTCCCATGCAATTGTAGTTTTCCTGCCATTATAATACAGGCGTACAGACATTGAAAAGCATTGATGAAGAAACTGTAAACATTTGTAAATTTTAAAACCTTTCGAAGTATTTTGCCTACCCAAGCAATATAATTTCCTCGGTAAATTGTAGAAAAGTGGTGTCATAGTAGTAAATAGTTTGGATCCATTCATTTAGTGTTTCCGGGAGGTGTCCAACCTGACCACCTAACGTAGAAAATCTTGGAAATATCAAAAACATCAATCAAGCACAATTTATTCAGTCATTACTAGAAATAACATGCCTACTTGTCCCCCCCCCCATAGATTCCTAATTAAATAATAACCAAGATTTCATTCCAATATCTTCTCTAACCAAAATATTGCAATGGTATTTTGGTCTCAACAACAATATCTCCTCTTACAACTCATTTTATTGATTTTATCCTATTCTCTGCTTTCTGCAAGCTCTTATCTCGTTATCTGGCAGTAGGGTTCAGTGCTTAGTGAAATTGAGATTTCTGCCTCCACTCCGTCAACTCACCCCCCCCCCTCCCCCAACCTTAAAAGAAAGCATATTCTGTCACGGAGCCTCCACTAAATAATCGATTCGCTTGGAATCCGTGTTCACGCCAACCGCAATTACTGGTTAACCAAGAAGCCAATCGTTTGTCACCTATTCAAACTTATATAAGAAAAATTCATCTGTGAATAGTAGAACGCCGTATAGGCAATAAGGCTACTGTTATCCTCTTCACTGAATCTGAGTTCCTCGGAAGCTGTTAAAGTACCTTTAAAGATAGTGTCTCATAATATTAGCAAAAAACTCATCTTAACTTGGGTTGAAAAGTCAATAAGCCTAAAGGCGCATCACCAGAACGATGCGCCCAATGATTAAAACATCTGCATTTAGAGAATATATGTATATGTATATATGTATATATATATATATATATATATCTGAAAAAAGCGAAAGGAGAAATATTGATAGAGAAAGAGTGCTCAACCACCAAAAAAGGGGAGAAGACTTACGTACACATTCAGCAACTCGTGGACTCACACAGGGAGATAGGTACTTCACGGACAAAGAAAAGGACAAGCAGAAAGTCAGAGAACTACACCGACTGATTGTCATTTATATGAGAATTAGGGGGGAGGGGGGGGGGAAGAGGGAACACATTTTGTGGTATAGTTGACAGCTGTGAAAATTATCGTTTGCAAAATGACAGCCTGAAAATTTGCTCACATACTCCACTTTAACATCTTGTTTCATCAACGTAGCCTACACAAGAGTGACTGGATTTGACACAAATAGAGGATGGAGGTAAGGAAGATAAATAAGCCGACAAAATCAAAAAAATATACCGTTAGCGTGTCTTTCAGTCTGCCATCGTGAGTAGTGCGGTTGGTACGGCGATGTCACACGAGTGGACTAGAGGGAGGTTGTTATGAGAGATGGGGACGGATTCCGATCACTATTTCGATCACTCATTCACATACAACAGAGCTGTTTGGGACGGGAATACGGAAAGCACAAGTGGAGTAGAAAAAAAGAAGACAAGACACGTGAGGAATGGGACAAACACAAGGACGAATTGAGTTGGAATAGAAAAGGACCGGGGTTAAAGATCGAGATCAGTTATTGTCGCAGTTGTCGTCCACGGGCATAGACCGCTGCTCTTGATGACGAGCTGCTGTCATCAAGAGATCCACTGGACCATTTGACACCGACGTCATCAGCAAATTTAAGAAGATATTGATGGGCGAACCACGCAAACATCATTGTGAAGACTGCAAAGCCAACAACCATCAGGATAGCCAACTGTTTTTGTGCTCGTTCTCGATTTGAATGTCCACCAGAAGCAAAGATATTTCGTCGAATTGAAGTTACTGCTGTTCGAGCACGATGGATAGTTCCGGTTGATAGGTGATTCAATGAAGATAATACACCTCCACTACGTTTAGAAGTCGGAGAAGGCTTCTCCGGTGGTCCTGAAGAAGTGTATTGTCGACTTCGAGTTAAGGTAGCGATGAACACTTCAATTGCCCTTTTCTTTTCAGGAAGGGTCGTGAATGCTGTACCAACTGAGTAGGGGCCTTGTAGAAGTGTTATTTTGGCATTGATGTTTGTCATCAAATCTTCTTCGTTCTTCGGTGCAAACTCAGTTTGACAGCAACGAATTGCACACACTCGGGCAATATAATTAGTACCGGAGAGGAGATTGCTCAGAGTACAAGAAGTCTCTGCTCCTCTATATGCTGTAACTGTCTCTTCAACTTTAGTAACCTCCGTCGGAGTAATTAATGACTGGGATTCGGTTTCAAGTGAAAAGCCACTGGAAACACGAGTCAGTTGAACTTGATATAGAAGCGGATCTTGACCCATACTGCTCATAGCTGGCCATTGGAGCTTGCACCCGGAATTAGAGACTTCAGTCACTTGTGGAGCTGCAATAATAAAGGCAAAATACCAACGACCTCAATTTTAACTAATGCAATATTTTCAAAGTCTAATTACCTTCAACGGGTGATGGGTGAGAGAAGGCAGTCTTTTCACAGAGAACTTCAGAGAAAGGGCCTTCTCCACTGATATTAACTGCTGCAACACGGAAGTAATACATAGTGGCTTCGGAAAGCTTCCGAGCCTTGAATGAAGTCTGAGGTCCTTCAAAAATGGTAGTCCAACCTCTAGAAGGGCAAATAAAGTCATTGTGGAAAGAGAATCATGGCTGGAGAGAAAATTAAGCATACTATTGAATGCCCTATACATCGGTAGCTTGATCAAATATAATTCCCTTTTAGATCTAATCTCGCTTTCCTGCCAAGAAGAGCGTGCTCACCCACTACTTCTGATTTGTCACTTAGGTTTGCTATAGATCGGTTGCCTCTTGAGGGTCAGACCGAGTGGGAGGGAGGGAGAGGGGGGGGGGCTTTTGGGGGAAAGAGAACTTACTTTGACTCATGTTTCTTCTTCATCTCAAGAATATATCTGAGGTTAGTTGCGTTGAGATTGGCTGAAAGTCTATTTGGCCTGACTGACGGTGTTTCCTCGTTAACCTCAATAGAAGCCTCCGTTGGTGAAGAGGTGGACGAAGACCAACGAAGTTTGATCCCATTTGCGGTAGTTCCAATGCAGCAGAGTGTTGGTGGGGGTGGAAGAGGTGGGAGTGTAGTAAAATGAAGACTACCTGAGAAGGGACTCGCTCCCACAGCGTTCAGAGCTTGTACCCGGACACTGAAAAAAAAATGTAAAAAAATATAAAACTTCACCAAGTATGCAAACTAAATAAATAAGGCATTTTCTGAAGATAGCTTAATTGGCAACGAAACTCTACATTTATTCACCAAATTCTTCGATTTCTTATAGCATTTTTACAATTTGACATAAAATTCTCCTTTATTCCCATAACCAAGAGGGGAGTTTTGATTACGGTTCATCCATTAGACTCAATATTAAAAATTTGAGATAATATTTAAAACTGGATTTCAAATATGATGATCTTCGTTATCAAGGCGGATTTAGCCACAAACGTATATTTCCAAATCAACTAACTCAATGATCACTAAAACTTTCCAACAACATGCTTACGAATATGGTTAAAACCAACGAGACTGGTGGCATGATTTGATCAAGGTTGCTGTGTTTTATGGGCGTATATGATTGACTAATCATTACTAAAAGCAATGAAATAATAGGTTATATTTTGGATCATGGAATAACGATCAAATAGATCAAGGTTTCAAAGCTTTGAAGAGAGGGAATTAGAGCACGAGACACGTGAGATGCACCTCTTTCTAACAGGGGAATGTATTTAGAGAAAATCATGTGTCAACTGAATACCCCCCTTCCCTTCCCCACTCAGCAAACACTAAGTATCAGTCTAGATTCGGTAAGGTTCATTTCTTCAAGACAGCCCTACATTAAGTTTCATTAAAAATCGAAAAGCGCTCCTTTTCCCTCTGCTACAAAAATCGATAAATCAGAAAGGAAGAATTCCAATCCTGCCGAAATGACTCATCAATCGTTCATGCCAATTTGGTCTGAGGCGAAGTGTTTGTTACTTGAACCTACTTTCAATCAGCCTTGCTTTGGTGATAGAGGATTAGAAGTAGAAGGTAGAAATAATGTAATTATTTACTTTAAGATGACAACATTTGGTATTATTTGAGAGGAACACCATAGAAAGCTAATAATAACAGTTGAACTATCGCCTATCACTTTGCTTTATTCACAACAAGTCTCGATTCCTTTCATTGCTTACCGATACTTTGTACCAAGTTCCAGACCTGTAAGGGTATAACGGACGTAAGCCATAGAAGCTGAAGATAACCGTCGGGCCCTTATGTCCATGGATCTAGCAATGCCATCACGTTGGCGGTAATGCTTTGGCTGTTGATGAGAAGAACCACTCTCTGTAGATATATTTGAGGACAAAGCCGAGCCAGAATCTATTCCAAGAGAGGGCGATACCGATGACGACCTGAATGGTGGAAGGTTAGAGAGTTCCGAAATACATAAGATATTTTGAATATCGGTGCTGCCAGCATTCCCGTTGACATCAATTACAGGTCGATTCAGCAAACTCTTTTCCTCTTCATCTTCATCTTCCGGAGAGGAGACAATGGATGCTGAGAGATCTTGAATCGCATCATCTCCGTGAACTTTTAGGGGTACATATTTAATAACGTAGACATTAGACCCAGCCAATAGGGTTTGGAAGTTATCGTAGCGGGTCACCTCAATGTTATAGCCTAAAATGGAGACCAAATCACTTACTAATGGTACATAAGGAGATTTACTCTTTAATTGACATGCACCATTAGTTACTAAGTAAATAGAACAAAGCGTACTTATTTACAGACATTAAAATCAGGCGATTTCCATTTCAAGAACCGGATATTTACGACAAAAAATTGTAATTCCAGTGGAAAGCTAACATGAATCATTGGCTCATGATTCAGAAAAATAATTTTTGGAAGCACTTTAACACATTGGCAATTTCAAACAGGAAAAAGTCCATTCGGGGGGGGGAGTGATTAATTTGAAAAAAAGGACGGCTTAAGTTCTCCACCACTCAAACAATAACAAACAATAGGATTCTTAAACAAAGGACTCTAATGTTTCCAACAACATGCATTTACATATCCAAAACGTTTTTTTTCGTAGCAGAGGAGCAGACAATAGGGTATCAATTTTCAACTCCGACCCAGTTTTGGGATTGCGGGGAGGAAAAAACGAATAATTTTTATCAAAGGAAAACCTTATTAACAATTCATTGTTATATTTATTCTTAAAGTTAACATACGTATTAAAATGTGCTCCATGGAGGGTTGTTGTCTTGCCAAATTTAGAATTACAGCCTACCTTAAAGGTAATTATCGAGTGCTAAGATTTATGACTGTTACGGGAGGCTAATGTAGGTTATAAAAGAGATGGATTATGATCAATGAGTTAACTACTTAATTGGCTCTTCAGTAGGCAGGCAGCTGAGAAAAGTACTAATATCATGGCATTAATGACAGTCGTGTGGAGATGGTGGGATAATGGAAAGCGATAGTAAAAAAAGATGACAAAAATAAGATAGCGCAATATGGACAGATTGTGAAGGAAAATAAAAGGAACATTTGCTGTAGTGTCAGGTTACTCTTGGCAGAAGCACAGAAAGCAATGAATATAATAATGGTTCCATTCGATACAAATGGTAAAAAGGTACTTAAAACTACTTTAGATCTTTCATGACAAAAGCCACCAAACCCAGCCTATAGGGATTCATACGAAGAACGTGAAAAGCTAATTACCATCTAATGTTATTGTAAATGACAGCAGCGTCTTCCATTGTAGAAGATATGCGGTGAGGAGAAAAATAGCTAAACCGATTACTATATTTTACCTTTCGGGGTATGCGATAGGCCTACCACCACGTGGTGCACCCTGGGCAACGTATACTCATAATGCAAAAGGTCTATTAACCGGCAGTTGACTTCTAACTTCAAACTACCATGATCTGACTCCATGTCATATTCAATCATTTCCACAGTACTCACCTCACCTTTTTCTACCTTTGTGTCTGCCTCTTCTACATCTTTGAATCTCTCTTCTGTTCCTCCCCCCTCCCTCTCGACTTTTTTCCCTTCGATGTTCCTCTTCCCCTCTGAGAAGCCTGAAGTCAACCAAAGGGCTAATGATAACCATCAAAACGGCCGCCATTTGATATAATAATAATATTTTACCTCTCTCCCTCCCAAGCTCAAGCGTTAAAAATCACGAGTTCGCGATACGAAAAAAAGATTATAAATTTACAAAAAACAAAAGGAATAGCAAAAAATCAGACTGAAATGGCTCCATCCCTCACCCCCCCCCTCCCCCCAAAAACTGGTTTTATGTAAATGAAAAAATCAACATCTATGCGTTCATATTAGCTTAGTTGAAGAGAAATTTACCTTCAAAATTGCGAAAATAAATTGTGGGATTACAGTAAGTAGGTCGTAAGAGCCCTATCCGAGATCGGAAACACAAGCGGTGATTGGCCAATAGAAAACAAGGAAGCATTGTTACATCACACTCGAAATACACAAAATGCAAATTTCCTTCAAAGGGAGGGGGGGGGGAGGGAGGGAGGTTAGGGAGCGGAAATAGTGAGCTGTTAAAAGATAATAACAAGGAAAAGAATAAAATGTTTAAAGGGGCGATAGAGAGCATGTTCTGCTTTCTAGCTTTTGCTAATCTCAAATGAGGGTGTATTATGCTAGTTGGTTGGAAATAAATATATTTCTCTCTCCTCAATAAATAAAATTGAAGAAATGGAAAGTAGACACCATTTCCGGCCACAGGTACTGACTAGGAAATATTTTAGAGCAAGGCGTTGATGTACTGGTTTATAAGTTAGTGACCCCGAAAAAATATATATGTAGTTTAATTATGACAAGAGAATAGGCTGATTGAGAAGTAAAGTCCTCACTTTCATAAAATTGTTAAAAATTTTAATTTGCCTTAATTTTGGCAAAAGCAGGCACAAGATGATTAAATAAAGAAAGTTCATCTTTATTAAAACAATAGAAGTCTCATTATAGAGCCCTTTTCATTACATTTGTTGGAGGTCATTACATCGAAATGGTCCTATAAATCAACCAACTGTATTGAAACAAATGGTTACAAAAAAAACGCGTACTGCGCCAATAACTTGGCACGTAATTAAACATACAAATTTCTAACTACTGCTTCATTAAACCGTAAATACCTTAAATTAGCACAATTTTTTTAATGCACAAAAAATTGTCGGACTTATAGTTGAATGAAAATTATTTCAACTTAAACAAACACTCTAAAATTCACCAAACCTCCTCCTTCTTCTTCTTCCACAGCAAAGTTAGAAAATGTTAGAAATAAATAGATTAGAGAAACGATATAATCTTCTTAATCACTACTTATTTTAATTACGCATATAAAGTTTCAAGAGGCCTACTTCATACCAATGAAATCATCTATTTACTGGTCTATACGCATACTGTGGAGAGAATCTAGAACACGAACTTTGAAACACTGGGAATATGATGCTCTGGAGTGTTAAGTAGAAGCGGACAGAACCAATAAAAATAGAATTTAAATGAAGCGAAATCCCCAGTACAATTCTTATTGGACTAATTTAAATTTTTCTTTGCTAACAAAAGCGTGAGGTTAAGGACAAAGGAAATAAAAGGAGAAGGAAGAGGAAGAGGAGGAGGAGGTGGGGGGGGGGGGGAGGGAGTTTCAACTTTCGAACGTGAAGAGAAGATGCATGGCCAAAAAACTATATGGGCAGATTTTGAACTGTTTTGTTTTGTGTCCTTTTACGCTGTTTTATTTTATTTCTAATTATGAACATACTTTCAGTGGATTTGAGGTTGAACCTTCGTGTATGAATTGTTGTACTCAATTCAAAAAATTACTACACTTAGAAGACCTTGACAATTAATGCGCTAAAATCGAATTTTCGGGGTTGATTCCTTTTACAATATAGCCTAACAACTGTAATAAAATTAGTTATATTGTCATTCAGAGAGCATATGACATATTAAAAACAATTATTTTACCACTATTTTTATGACAAGTTTACCTTAAATTTATTTCTAATATGATAAAGAAGGAACTTTTCATTGCAACTTCTAACAATGGATGACGTTCGATTTTAGGTTATATTCCAGTAGAAATTGAGCTTTGTTGCACAATCGAATTAATTCTCCATTAACTTCTGATTCAGTACAATTCCATTATGCCAGTTGAGCAATTATTGCTATGTTTTTATAACGTAAACAGATAATTTTCAAATGCCTATTGTGAGAAATAAATGAAATAAAAATGATTAAAAGAAATAAGAGCGTACAGGTAATGGGACAGCCATTGTCGATCGGAGCAAGCCAAATTAGTTGAGCTGTTGTCATAGATACACCGCCAACACAGACCTCATCATCTGAATATGCCGACGGTTCAGATGAATCCAACTCTAGACTTGGTGGTTGATCAGGCTGTGCAGCAGGTAGAATGCAGTAGCCCATGGGACTCCAACCACTTGTTCCAGCTGAATTCACTGCACAAACTCGGAATGCCACTCTTGATGCCGGGTGCAAATCATGGAGCTCAAATTGTCTCTCAATTCCGGAGTGAACCTGCACAAATCAAAATCTTTCCTGTAGACAAGTCGGTTCAATCAATCAATCAATCTAAATACACCATATTTATTATAGTTTATACTGGTCTGGTTTATAGCACAAGCTGATGTCTGAGACCTTGCGCTTACTCTAAATCCTTCGAGGTTGAGAAATGACAAGCGAGTATACTCAAGACTACATTACACAGAACAGGGTGAGAATTATGTGTCCTCTAAAGTTAGTGGTTTAATTGCTAAAATAATCTCTATCGAAATTGAGTTCGCGTCATTATCTATAAAAATTCTTAAAGAAAGACTGGCTATGGGTGCGACCAGGTCTTTCAAAAGGAGGATAATGCATAGGAATCAAGTTTTGTATAAAATTGGTACTCACCAATTGAAATCCACTATTCGAATGTGATACAGCACTAGACATTTCATTCGCTTCAGTCGGTAAAAGCACCATTTCGTCGGCTTCATTTCGTTTAGAGAGAGTGGTGGATTGGAAGGATCCAACAGCCTTGGGTTGAAATTCAACTCGATATTCTGTGATGGGCGCCCCATTTGTTTCCTCAGCTGCCTCCCAGCTCACGTGAACGCTGGTCGGCGAGGTTGGTTTCACAAGGGGAGGTGACAGCAGCGAATTTGGAGGTGAAGGAGCTGTTGCGAATGTGGTCCACTCCGACCAATCCGACCAACCTGTGCAATTCTTCGCTCGAACTCTGAATGTGAACATCTGGCCTGAATGTAGTTCACGCACTTCACAGTTATTCTCCGATCCTGCAAAAACTAATCTCGAGTCCCTGGTATGAGAGGTTGCATGCTCTGGGGTGGAATGCGAGGAATTCGGTGCTGAGGCCACAGTTTTCTTTGAATAGGTGTTAGAATTGTAGAGGTTGTTCATACTGCCGGAAGAACTAATACACGCCATGGGAATGGGACCCGTCTTGATGGGACTTCCTGAGACTGGATCAATAAGAGACTGCCAGAGTTCGTAAGAGATAATCGGCGCCCCACCGTTTGATGTTGGCGGATCCCAGACTAATCGGAGTTCATTTGATTTAGCACGACCGAATAGACGGAGGTTTGAAGGAGGATTTATAGGAGGAACAGCTGGAGTGGTGATTTTCAGAGGAGACGTCGTTGCACTGCCCCAATAGATCACACTAGGAGTTGGATTAATTCGTGAATTGAGTTGTGAGGCGCCGTTTCGTTGCGAAGCAGCACGAACTCGAAAATGGAAAGTTTGTCCTGGAGTGAGATTGCAGACGGTGACTTCCTTGCAATGACCCTCATAGATGGAATACCAGGCTGTAGAATAGGGAGAGTCTTCAGCAGTTTCAGGCTCAGGTAAGTCGAATGAACTTAAATTGTTGTCGCTTTCATTTGAGGAACAACCGATTGGATCAGGAGAATTTGGAATGCGTAATGGTGGTTGTACATTACCACTCGCTTTGCCGAGGGTGTAGACACTGCTTGTCGGGGGTTGTAACAGGTACTTAGCCGGTGGAACAGAGGTAAATCGATTACCATTGGAAGTGGCTTTGGAAAAAAGGAAGAAAAAAATCGATATAGAGTACTTCTCTACCTATTCACTAAATAAGAGGTCGACCAGCGAATTTCTTCTGAGAAATCTTCGATTCATATTCATGCTGATGGTTAAGCATTAGAGAGCATGTTTATTTGCACTTAAAGTTCGGAGAAGGAACATTACGCGATTCAGATTTGAAGATTATCTTTAATTTTCCATTGTGGGAAATTGGGAATGAGGAATTTAATCCTCTAATTCTAATTAGAATGTGTGTTGAGAAAATAAAACCCGATGCAAGGTTAGAAGACTTATTGACCTTTAAATGGTGAAATAGGCTTTTTACGGAAAGGTGGTAAGATGCTGAACACACATGACATAGGTTGGATCTGAGTGGTCTATTCTTACCATGCAGGATTTAATGACTCATTGCTAAAAGAATCACATCAGATGGTATTGTTGCCTCAACCTGATAAAATCGATATTTTCTGCGCAATCAAGCATAATGGAGCTGATTTGTGGAATACATAACTATCAAAAAAGAAACACGTGAAAGCAAAGCTGTAATCAGTTCAGTTTTCCATTCAATTAAAAGACAATGGCCAAGTACTGGGGGAGGGGGAGGGGTTTCAATTAGCACTGGAGTTTTTCGAAAATCCTCCCTGGGCGGTTAAACGGAAAATTCAATTTCACAAAACTAATTTTGCCTAAATGAAGGAAAACCGCAGGACTGTATTTTAACTTTTAAACCCAAATAACCCCCATAGGCGCTTATTTGGATGAGCGGAATTCGAAAAACTCCGGTACTTGTGCTTAACCCCCAGTTTCATCACCGTTTGAATTTTTCATCAAACGTAAAAATCGAATAGGGCGTGGAAATGAGTTTCCGTCAATCATTTCCGCTCCAGCATTTTATGGGAGATTAGGCATTTATTAGTTTGAACGAATCTGAAGAAATGCAGATCATTAGCCAGTCAAGATATTCGATGACAAAGGGGAAATAAGAAGTTTCGCTAAGACCACATTGAATTCATAAACTTGCCTTTGTTCCGGCTTATAAAGAAGGTCTATAAACCGGCAGTTGACTTCAGACTCCAAACTACCATCACCCCACTGTATGTCATATTCGACCACTTTCACAGTACTCACCTCACCTTGTTTCTACCTTTGTGTCTGTCTCTTTTACATCTTTGAAACACTCTTCTATTCCACCCCCCCCCTCTCGACTTTTTTCAATTTGATGTTCCTTCCCAACTGTGAAGACTGAAGTCAATTAAAGGGCTAATGATAACTATCAAAACGCCTGCCATTTGATATAAATAAATAAATCTTTGTCAGCATCAACAAAAATTGCAGAAGGTATAGTAGAAATCGAAATCGCATTCAATAGGTACGACCTATACTTCCGCGTTTGTTAACT